AATGAAACTAAGAAAAATGAGAGGTCACGCTAAAAAGCGGCCTAGAAACCCACATACGGGCAATCACCTAAGCAAATATGGACAAATCAGAAAGAAAACACAACCACTGCATAAGGCCTAGCTGTGCCATCAATCTGAGAACTCAAAATACCAGAAAAGTAAACTAAAAAAGAAACAGAAGGAAGAAAAATACATCAGACACTAATATTAATACAAATAGCAGAAAACAACAGATCATAAGGTAGCAAAATCCTGCCATTCTTTTGATGCACTTCTGATCACTGTTTGCATAGGGATGTTGGTTCTTTCAAAAAGCCAACGGTTCCTGGAACACCAAAGCCACCATAACCCCTCTTATTTTTTTGCCAAAACGATAGAAATATTATATAAATGTGCATAAATGTGCAAAGGATACAACCACCAGCTGAATACAAACAGCCAACAGCTGAATACAGACAACCAATAACTGAATAAAATTGGGAGGACATGTCAGAAGAACACCTAGAAACCCGACACTAGCAAAGCTAGAAAACAACACTCGCAACTACTCTAAAACCAACTGCACCAACAAAACAAAAACCAACTAAAAAAAATCCCAACAGGATAATACCCAAGCGCCTGATCCCAACAAGATAATAAGATGACGCTCGGGGTCACAGGGGTGCACTGGGGCCAATGGCCCAAACCTAGAACACAAGAACAAACACAGAATAATAACGACAAAATAAACAAAACAACTACGAACTAAGACACAGCCCTCCTGCAGCAAAGACATCCGAGATTGTACAGTAGACAAAGCCGACTTCAAGGGAAGATCCAAAGCACAGGAACTCCACCCGCCACTGCCTAATGCCTAGCAAAGACGAAGACCCGAGCCTCAAAACAGTCCAAAAAAACCGACATGCTCTCCAACCGCAAGAAACCACAGTCGACCCCCAACCGGCTAACACCACTAGCCTAGTCCGTCACCATCGCGAAAAGTGGATTTTGTTATGGTATTTGGTTGCTGTTATTTTATCGAATCTTTAAGCAAATTTTTTCTTTGCATTTTGAAATAAAAATAAATTTATAAATCTTGAGGGAATATCTTTCATTTTAGCGGATAGACATAATAATTTAGCCCATCAATACATATTATCACAATTAACTGTACAAGTTTATCTCTCTCTCTCTATATATAATAAGAATAATGTTAAATCATTTTTAGAAAGTTTTTCCGCCACAAACATTAATTACACACTAAAATGATATTTTAAAATTTATTTTAAATAAATAAAAAATAAGCAGCAATTGAATTCATTATAATCTATCTATATATATAAAGTAAGAATAACGTTAATTCATTGTTAGAAAATATTTCCCGGCCAAAACCATTAATTATCTACTATAGATGTAAATAATATTATATATTTGCATAGCAATAAACATTAATGCATAGTTTTCATATAACTAGACTTTCAGTTTATGTTTGGTTTAGTAAATTATCGGTTTCCTTTATTTACGTTGATAATTGTTTGGTAGGCAAATATTATGTAAATATTTTAGAATTCTCATTTATGAAGGATTCTTTTTTATTTTAGTTATAAGATTATTTAAATTATGTAATGAAAAAACTATTTGTTATGAGATATATACAAATCTTTTTTTACGGTGACACGTCCACAAATATAATGTCTAATGTTTTGCGGGTCTAATGCATATTATTTGGTAATACATTATAATTACTAATATTTTTTTAGACTGTACATATTATTCACATGTAATATTTTATATATTTTTAAACATGTTATTTGGGAAATTTTTTTTACACATCTTATAAATTAAGGTCTATATATATATAAATACATATATATATGTGCTAAACTTAAGTTTTTAAACATGTTTTACTTACAAAATAATTTAAATAAACTTTAGGCGACCTCACATTTTTTAAGAATAATATATAATATTTTAGATAATCTTACATATGTTATATAAAATTTTATTTGATTTTAATATTCTAAACATACATATTTAATGTTCTTTTATATAATTAAAAAAGTATAAAAATATTAGTAATTATTATTTAGCTAAATAAGTATAATCGATATTAAAATGATAAACTAATAGCATTTTTAGAACTGCCATGTAAATTATCCTACGATAAATAACTCATTTCGATCTTAGGTTTTCATTTAAGTTCCAACAACACCAGTTCTTACTTATAGTTTTGTATGCATGATGATAAAGAAGAGTCCGTTTTTAGTCATGGTCAATTATATATTGTTGGTTCGTGTGTAAGTAATATAAAAGAGTTAAAAATATTAGGTTATGGGACCACGAGTTGCCCAGTAATCAAACTTATAATGTGTGTACAAAAAGATTTTTAATAATATATTATTTTTTCTGAGGAACATTTTTATGCTTTGACAATTTTCATACATATTGTCACACTTTTATTTATTAATACACTCCAACTTATAATATTTTTATTTATTATACACACCAATTTATAATATATCCTAAGAATAATACAGCTCGTGCATCGCACGAGATACATACTAGTTTTAATATACACACTAACAAATAACCATACCACATTTTTCAAAATTAACCAAAACATCCAAACAAACAAAAAAAGTTTTTATATACAAGCATGAAGAATTTATAATCACGATTAAATTCATTATTTTATTCTTTTGAAAATCACGGGAACTTATTTGCAATTGATGATATTTGATTTGAGGGACCACTTTTGCTATGACTGATACCTCGAGGGCTGAGAGTGAATTGACTACCCCTTGCTATCGATCGAGTGCAGCAGC